CTACCACAGAGCAGTCCTGATGCCGCGAAAGACACACAAGGACCGAGACAGACCCACGTGGCAGCGTTACAACCGGCGACCATCAAGCGCTTCCGAGGATGTAATGGTGACACGGGAGAGGAGTGGAGGACTCGCCGTTCGCCAGCAGTCAAGGCGGCATTCCTCCCTCACGTGGGTCGGCATTGCAAAACAAACAGCGGCACCATAAGCACACACGGCACACGCAGAAGGGAACAAAGAAGTGCGGTGGCGGCACTCAGACACGGGGGACAAGGGTCCACGTCAATCGTGCGGTCGGTGCCTTACTTCTCCCACTGGGGCGCAACTCCACCAACGCAGTCGCCTGCCTCCTCCCCACCAACACAGCGAGGGAGCAACAGCGGAAGATGCGACACGTGCGACGAGCACGCAGCCACAGAGTCCCACTGCTGCCGCCATAACCACACAAGACTGACTGCAGGGCGCAAAAAGAAGGGTAAACACCCCATCAAACGCCTCAGCATCACGTGGAAGAACCGCAACCGACAAATAAGGCACAGCACCGTGAAGCAGGCGCCAAAACCAAACCTCCTCCAACAAATTCACCGTAAAGCAAAGAAAAAAAACACAATTTGAAAAAGAAATTGCCGGTGCAGAGGCAATAAACGGTTGTGGTGCGCAGCAGCCGTAGCATCGCACCCTTCCCTCATCTAACGGCACCGCACCACAACGCACCGTGACGACAGCGTGCAATGACGACGACTGAGTAGCACACGCAAAGCGGCATAAACCTTTCATCCCGCACTCGCTCAAATTTATGCTCTCAGTATGTACTGCCAACGACACAGGGAAGGACACGGAAGGGGACTGTCCTGTCCATCCACCTTCTGCCACAACAGACCCTCCCCATCCTCCTCCTCGCCACGCCCTGGGTGCCGCGCAACGCCGTCAAGCAAATCCACTTGTATGGAATTCTCCAATGCGCGGGGCGGAGCTGGCAGCCACCCACGCTCACTCCCCCGCACACATCCTCTCCCACAACCTTCCCACACACACCAGGGCAAAGACGCGGAGAGGAAAAGCCCGCCGCACAACGTACGCAAGAGCACAGCTATCCACGTCACACCGCAATAAAGAGTCATGCGCACAGCGCCCGATTCTCCGCCACCCACCAACCCGGTCAATAATTAAGGATCTCCTGGGGCTCTAAAGCTCACTGCATGGGTCTCATTCCATCTGATTTTCTTCTTTCCATCCTCATCAGTGAGAGATCCCTTCACGAGTAAGGGGCCCCGCTCATTCCTACCTTGAATCTGCTGCTCTGTACGGCTGTATTTTCCCAGGAGCATGTAAACACTGTCCCCAATTACAAGTGTCGTTGGTCGCGTTATGCCGTTTGTGGTGCTGACGCCCTCAGAACCTTCCTTTAGAGGATATGCGCCAAAGTTACTCGTATCTGCCGTCGAGATCTCCGTTGGACCAGCAACACCACTTAAATCAAAGTACCATGACGCAATCCCAGTAAAGCTGGCGTCGCTGCAGTCACCCCAATCCTTGCAATGGGCTTCATAAATAGCAAGTACATGACCCTGCACCTCAACAAGACTGGGACCAAGAAGCAAGCCATATTTACCACCAGCGTCAGAAACATCCTCCCACATGTCAAGCTTTTCCTTTTTAATCCCCATCAACGCAGCAACTGTATCCCTTACATTACTCCCCGCAACGCGTGCACCTCCGACTTCACAGTACATCACAAGGAGAAGCAGCACCGCGAAAGTAAACACACGCCGGGACATGTTGGGCCTCTGCTGCTCCCTCTCTCTTCCTCCCTTTCTCTTTCCGCCGGATCCGGTCACGCGGCGACGGTTGTGTGTGCGGTGTGCCATGACTGCAGCAACACGTGAGAGCATACAAATATGTGTGTGTGGGCGGTTGTTGTTCCTTTCGGAGCCTTCGAATTCCAGAGTGGCGATTCGCGTTTGGTGGTAACTTCCTTCTTCATAAGGAGCAACAGAGAACAGAAGCAGAAAGGCAGCACAACAGCAGTACACACCTGAACCACTCACAGCGAAACACAACATCACCATCCAATCAGTCAATATTCTACAGCACCCCTCAACAGCACGCACACAAAAATTAGGGGAAAAAGTGAGCAGCCTCCCAATGGGGGACCGCAGGTCACGGTCCTGCAAAAAAGACAAGCGACAGGGAGCCAAGTGTGCAGTGAGGAGCGCGAGAGTTGCACTGCAACGGCACGGCGGCGTGACACCCCGTGGGGAGCATCGATGCGGACCAGCACGTCACGTGCACGAAGAGTTGCTTCTCCCGCCAAGCGAGGAACAAAAAACAGCAACAGCAACCCAATAATGAGAGGTCTTCTGCGCCTCCTCGCGGCACCAGCAAGCTCTTCAGGCAATAAGATGCAGACGAACGTTGCATTCTTCACAACGGAAAATGCATCCTGTGGCACCACAAGTTGCAGTAGACGCGCACAGTCTCCGTCTCCCTCCCTCCTGTCCCTCTCCCTGAGAACTCATCGGTGGCCCTGGCACACTCACCGACATGTCAGAAAGCACTTGTGTTTCTTCTTCCCTTGCATTTCGAACAGCAGCACCGCCAAACGAAGGTCACTCCTTCTTTCGCAGAATTTCCTCAGGCACGCCTCCCGCCACATGCATCAACCCACCTCCGTTCATTTCGTCTCCCCTTCAGGTGCTCGCACCACACTCACGGTCGTTTTGATTATTCTCGTCTGGCCGCATTACGTTCCCATCAGCACCATTGGGGATGGTTTCTCGCATGAATGAAGATTGTTGTCGCAGAGCGTTTTCGCCCTCCTAATCAAAGGGAAACAACAACGGATAAACGCCCGCAAAAAAAAAAAAAAGCATGACAGTCTTTCCCTACGAATGTGTGCACCCAAACTCATTACATCCGTTCCCCCTCGTCAGTCATCCATGCCCACAGCTCCGCGAAGGCACGTTTTCACCCGTGATCCCGGAAAGAAATGCCGTTTCCCTCACCACCATCACATCCACACTGGTGCGCAGTTGCCGCTCGCACGTCCCCTCTTCCACATAAACAAAGCCAATCCACAAACGATAAAATAAAGAAGCAGCGCGATGCGTTGACGGATTCCTTCCGTTCCGTCTGTTTCGTGATGAAGCCCCGCCTCCTTGCCTATGTATTTCTGTCTTCTCTTTTTGTCACCCACACAAATAAAATGCTCAAACAAAGTCCTGAAACCCTTTTATATGTCACCGACACCTGCTCTGCGCCTTGTGTCGCTTCAATAAAAGACCGTCATTCACAAATGCACCCCGATGTTCAAAAGGAATACCCGCACCCCGATAATCCTTTAACAGAGTATTAAGAGCCAGCTCAGAAACATGCACCACCAATACAATCATAAAGCCCGTAATGAAAAGTCCACTCCAGCATGGACCTTTTTTAAAAGTCTTCATAGAAAACGGCCATGTACGAATTGAACTTGTCCAGACAAAACATTCCTCTGTGTCAAATCCATTCTCGTCATGAATCCTTCATGAAACCCCGCCGCACTGGTTAAACTTTCACCACTCGATCGGCCACGGCAAGCAAGAACGGAAACAGCCACATAAGGAAAATCATCTGGTAAAGCATGCCTTTGGCGTTGTAGGCGGCTAATCGCACAGAAACAGTGCCCATCCACAAGGAAACAACATACACTGCGGCTCCTGCACTCCCTAATAAGCGCCTCATGAAATAAAAATTTGTGTCGCGATTTCAGAGCACTGAAGTACCAAAAAAAAAAAAAAAATGAATTGAAGGCAACAGTCGAGCACAACTTCTACCGAGTCTTTGTCCGAAGGGAGAAAGGGCACCAAGCACACTGCGCTCGACATTCACTCACAATAACACACCAATAAATAAACCAAGGGCGGTGTGGAAATGGATTTATTCCATTCAGTAGCCCCAGCGGATGATAAAATACAAAAGGGGCCAAACGTAACGATGGTTCCTATCATGGCACCACACAACGTCGTGCTTCCATTTCAGGATGGGAATTAAGGAGTTAGCTGCAAGTACAGAAACCGTCTTCTCCACCCAGCACAGGACGCTGAGAAACTAGCCAACAGACCAGAAAGAACAACATGCAGCAAATCGCTCCCAATATTCCGGTAATCCCTTCTCACGCCGAGTTATCGTCGCGGCCGAAAAGTCCAGTTTGCGCGGCCCGCCTTTGCGAATTCACAAGCGCCATCATGATGAACAACCCACAAGCATACCAAGGCGATCCTTCCGTGATGTCCTCAAACACCCTTGCAAAGCCTTCCAACACCTTCTGCCCCGTGATGCAGATCGTTTCTGGAAGTAAAACCATTCGTGGTAAAGAAGCGAATCCCTCGTCAAAGACACATCGCCCATCACCTGCGATGCTTGCGCCTCCAACGCATTTCGCTCAGCCACCGAGAAGGAGATATGATCACGAGCAACAGCAGCAGTGGCGTGCACGTCACACGCAGAGAATCCTAATCAACCAAGCAAGCGATATTGAGGTTCAGTTCGCTGATGCCTCCGAAAAGCGATGGAAATATTGTTTTGGGCCACAAGTTCCGGGCGAGACACCAACCACAATGCAGCGATATCTACCGCAAACGGTCACACAACACACACGTTTGGCGTGCGAGTAGGAAAGCAGCCGCGCGCAAGCCAGTGGAGCGCGAGCGCGGTACTGAAGCCAAAAAAAAAAATGCGAAAGACGGTTTTATAGATACCCCACTCGCCTTCACATGACCCCCTTTTGGCCGCATATGCCCCAGAAGCGCGAGGGATACGGCCGGGGGCGGAGGCAATATTTTCCCCCGGACGCCCCGCGACCCGCGGGACGCCGAGCCCGTCGCCAGAAACGGATTCGGGGCAGGGTGCCCGAAAAAAA